CATTCGAAGTTCTGAAGATCTTACATCATGTGTCCTCATTTAAAAAGGCTTGCAACAATCCAATTTTGGATTGGATTTTTTGGAACTTTTCATACCTCCTTGTCTGCAGATACTCAAGAGTACATTACTAAAGATTTTCTCTTTGATGATTGTTGGGGTTTTCTTCCTAGAAAAATATAGAAGCTCTAAGTTCAGAAAATAGTCTACTTCTCTCAGACAAAATCAGAAACTTCAACTTAGACTGAAATAGAATCATGCTTCACATTAGCCACTGAGAAAATAACTATACCTGCACAATATATCTTGATCAATTCTGGACTGCATATTGTGGAGTCCTTGGTGCTTTCTGTGTTTGTTTGTTTATTTATTTGTTTGTTTGTAGACATTTCATTACCCAACTAGGTAACATCATCAGAGCTCTGAGTAAACCACCATGCTTAGAGAGCCCCTAGGACTCCACAGTTCAACCTGGGGCTACATATATTTTAGTCTATTGGAAATGGATACTGTTGGGTTTGGATTTGTCATTTTTGAAACAATACTGATTTGGTATGAGCTAAATTTGAAGTTCTCTTTAGGAGAAAAATTCTATAGTGGGAAAACATTGAATGGCTTCCACCTCCTCCTCCTCCTCCTCCATAGCAAGGATAATAGACCTTTTAGAGGACATTATATCTGCCTCATTTCAACTAGATACCTCCAACAGTTTCACTAGATTAGATTTTTGAAATATTGAACGTGAAATTCTTGAGGCAGGGAGAGCATAAAGGGGGAAATGAAAGAAAGAAACAAGAAGTTTGAAAGAAAAATCAAGGGAGTCCAACTGACTCCTGAAAAAGCACCTTTGGGACCGACAACCATGACCTAGATGACTGAGAATCGCTGCAGACTTTTAGCTATGCAATTTGAGATGAACACCCTTCGAATGATGTGGGAGTATGAACGGATTTCCTGAAAAATTGCAGACTACAGGAATCATTAGCACTACTCAGGTGACCCTGAGGACACAGATAAACATCCAAGTGCTTCAACGGTCCTCAAAAAGGATGCAAATGAACAGCTGTCTGCAAGAAATATAAATCCTTCCATTGCCCACCATCTAGTCAGAGCTGAAGAAGCTTCTTGGATGTGAAGTGAAATGTCTTCAAAGAAAAAAACAAGAAAGTCCAGTTGCCTCCTGAAGAAGCACCTTTGGGACAACCATGACCTGGATGACTGAGAATCTCTTCTTCTTCTTCTTCTTGTGCTATGTCTGTCATCGGATGTTGGCGATCATGTTGGCAATCCTATTTTTGTCAACAGCCGTATGAAAAAGTGCTGCTGAATTTTGTTCAAACCAGTCCCTTAGGTTTTGAAGTCATTATGTTCTTCTTCTGCCTGGGCCTCGTTTGCCTTCAATTTTTCCCTGGAGGATTAAGTGAAGGATGCTGTATTTTTCTGAGAATCTCAACAAATAAGGAATGTTGGTGGGTGGGACCTGCAAAGGTAAGACTTAGGACCTTTGAAAGAAATGGCCTTTGACTGAGGCACAGGTGATAAAATCAGAGGAATTTCAAATGGAAAAAGAAATATACATATATTTCAAGTGGATATATGGATATATATGTCCAAGTGGATATATGGATATATATGTCCAAGTGGATATATGGATCTTGTTTTAGAGAAGGGGAAAGACAAAAGACACAATTTTTTTCTAATTGGCCTTGCATACATAAGAAACAGCTTTTTGGTCACTAATACAAAAGAGTAGAAGTATTTTGAATAATTTTGAAAATCAGGAACTATCAAAAGACCTAATATATTGCATGATAGGTAATAAGAGGACACTGAACGGCTGTCTAAGCCATTATTAAGGGCCCCTGATCCAAGCAGTGATGTTGCAAGGAAGGAATGTGTAATAGAGAGTTTTACATCCAACTAATCTAAGAAAAATGCTTTAAAAAACCACACCTAGGGAACTGAAGAGAAAACGGAAAGGAAGGGAAGCTAGTTAAGAGGGTATAGGATTGCACTTGGCTCAAGACCCAGAAAACCCTCAGCACAATCCTTTGGCTCTTAGTGCCACCACTGAATGTCTAATAAGTATAGCTTTGTGATAGAATGAAGCAATTCATGAAATTATAATTTGTGTTAGACCAACAAAGGATTTAAAAGCCTTGAAGCTCTTTGTTTCCTTCAAATGGAATAATTTAATGGATTGAGTTAACTCGAAATGCTTTCATAAAAAAGCATTGCCTGTTTTTTTTTTAAATTAAAATATCGTTTCTGCTTCTTGGGAATCTCCCACAACTTTTGTGCTATGTGTTAAAAGATAATTTTATGCAATCGAAATCCATTCCAGTGCAGCAAAGGCACAAGTCATTACTGAAACTTAGGCGGAGTTGCTCCTGCATTTAGTTTTGAGGAGGTGTAGTGTTTTGAGCAACCAGTAGACACCTCTTCTGCTTTTGAACACGGCTCTAGCAGTCCCTCAAAACCTCACACATCTGCTGAACACAGTGACAGCCCCACCACAGTGCTTTGGCCCCTGGGAAGATACTTTCTTGGAGATAAGATGAGAACCTACAAAAGGCAGGAAAGTGAGAATTTTTCTGTCCTCTTTTCCCCTTGAAAACCAGTACAGTGCTGGTTGTAAGCAAAGGGAGATAAACTTCAGTACATCTAAAGGTTTCATTTTAATGGTTAATAAGGACTAGTTGCAAGGAGACCTAGTTTCTCTATGTGTATCTGAACACCTCAGCTGTAATACTGTTGGCATTTCAGTCACATGTTGCATATATTTAAACAGACAACACTTCATCCTGCCAATGCATTCATGTCTTTGCCCTCACGTTTATCTATTCTGACTATCAGAGTCAGAATCTTCCAGCAAACATCCAGGTCAGATCAGCCTGGATATTCCTTTCAATTGAAGAGCTTAAGTGATTATTTGTGGTAATTTTTTAAATGTCAGCCCGTGTCCTTTATGGCAAGCATCACAAGAAGTTAAATGGATTAGTTATCAAGAGGGTTGGAAAGGGATCAGACTGGGGAAAGTTGATGATAAACCATCACAAAGACATCAGGTACTGGACAGCAAACTCTGCCTTGTCTCTGCTTCCTTTTTATGATTGGTGGGCTGCTGAGTTTGAGAAGTGGACATGGCAGCCTGGCTACACATGATTAAACTGATCACTTTGCTTTATATACCCTGCAGAAACTTAATTGGATCGCCCCAATTCTGCAACTATCCAAACAAAGGCAATAAATAGCAAGAGCACTTAGACTTATGTACCACTGCATAGTGCATTACAGCACTCTCTAAGTGGATTACAATGTTAGTGTATTGCCCCCAACAATCCTTATTTTACCGACCTTGGAAGGGTGGAAGGCTGAGTCAATCTTAAACCCATCAGGATTGAACTCTAGACTGTGGGCAAAATAAGCCTGCAAAACTGCATTCTAAGCACAGTGCCACTTGATTTTGTTTATTTTAATTTACTAAATTCCCTCCCGGAGTAAAAATTTAGAAGTTCAGGATTTGAGGAAGGATATTTCTTCTATGTTATTTGCCAGTCAGAGGGATCTCCTCCTTTCTCAACCAGCTTCCATTTTTTTTATGCAGCAGGCAAGAACAGGTAGGTTTTTGCATGATTCCCTCCTTAATTGGTACACAAGCCAATTAATTTCTTTTATACACTTTTCTCCTATCACCATATCTACCAACCTGAAACTCATAACCAACATTTTCCCTTCAAGCGAATTTATGTAAAGATGCTCTCAAGTCCGACTCAATTCCTGATGACTCATTGTAGACTAGAAATAAATTTCTGTTACATTCTTCTTGGTGGGATCTAAACTAGGTTCCCCAGTCTTGGGATTCCCTGGTGGTCTCTACTCAAATGCTAATTACAGCTGACCCTGTTTTGTTTCAGAAACCAATAAAATCTAGGTTAACTACTGCCAACAATGGAGGCTCTTGCTTTAGGAGTTGTTCTTTTTAATCTCTTTTCTCTATCCTACTCTTTTCTATAACTCCCTGATTTAGAAAAATACCATTTGGAATTAATTCCTTCAACGTATCCTCACTGAAAACAAAAAACAAAACAAAAAAAACTACCCCCCCCCAAATTGTGGTTATACTCTTTAAAGTATCAGTTTTTTCATTCTTTTTCTTTTTGCTGGACACCACAATATCCTGCAAGTTTATGTGCAGTTGACATACATATAATAAGTATGCATGAATGCAAATTAGGATTCTTTGCCATTGGGAGGACCTGGATAGTTCTCAAAAACTCTAAGAAAATAATAAGTTTCCTCTGGTACAGCGTTTGCAAATCCAGCGGGTGGGGTGAAGCTTTGCAATGTGTGGGAATGTATACAAGGCCCGCGTTTAAATGATGAAAGCAGCTGTATCTTTGTCTAGTTTCACACGGCTGATTTGAACTCTCATCTTTTCTCCTCATGTGTGTACATTCACAGCCACATTTTGGATTTGACTGTGGAAGAAGTAATAGAGGTTTTAACAGGGAGTAGCATCTTTTTATTTTAAATATCTTTATTAAATTTCAAAAACAAACATTTAAATACAAAACTAACATAAAGAGAAAAAGAGGAAGGGAAGGAAGCATCATTTTTTTTTACCAAATAACTTGTGCAGCCCTATTATATTATGGTTGGTAAAGCCATGTATTATACTGGGCTGGAGATTTTCTATTTACTAGTAATGGGATAATTGTTCTCTCCCCACTCCACCACCAATCTTTATAATATTGAAAACCAGCAGATGCATTCCTTGCTTCATGACCAGAAAAATCTCAAGGTTTTCCTGGTGCATGGAGAAAAATCTAGAAAACCACTTTCCATGTCATATTGGAGATGACTGCTGTTCCTAATGACGGAATACCTATATTTTGTATGAAGTAAAAAAAAATTAATGGACACACTGTTCATTGACCTGTAGAACCTGGCAAGGTAAACGTATTGAAACCAAACTCCCACTAAAAAAAAAAAAAAAAAAAAAAAAAAAAAAAGATACAAAGCACACCTTCAGTTATGTGGGAAATGTTGCAGAATTTCAAAATGCCACAATTCTCTAGCAACATTGATACAGATTTCTTAGAAAATTGGGTTTTTTTTTTTAAATCACAGGATAAGAATACAAGTATTAAAGTGCTTATGGCTGGGTTTTTTAAAAGGGAATACTAGAACCTATGGAGGTCTCCCAACACACCCCTCAAGGGTCCTTGAAATCAAAAGTATTTCCAAGCTATTGAAGATAATTACAAACATTTAAAACAATGGCACACTTCTGGTTTTTTTAAAATTGGTTAAAATATAGGGCTTTTTATGGTCAATATTTCATTTATGTTAATATCTCATGAATTTAAGTGTTATTTTTACGTGATTTAATAAATAAATATTCCATGAATGCATCGATTTTAATTTCTAATATATGGAAAATATAAATATTACCCATATAAACCAAAGCTCTTTTGGAGGTCCTCCATAACTTTTAAAAGTAGTAAGTGGTCCTAAGAGCAAAAAATAATAAAAAAAAAGAACCACCCCACTATTTATGGATTGATGACAATATTACAGGTTGCTTTGTAAAATGTTTCTACATTTTACAAATGTAAATGCTGGATCCCGTAGACTAGGGGTCTCCAATCTTGGCAACTTTAAGACTTGTGGACTTCACCAAAGCTGGCTGAGGAATTCTGGGAATTGAAGTCCACAAGTCTTAAAATTGCCAAGATTGGAGATCCCTGCCGTAGACTTCCTTCTAAAAGAAATTAATGGGGTTTGCACAGACACTTGTTATTTAAACTTTCTGCCCAGCCCTGAAGCAAGGCTCTTAAAGATCAACCTGTTTAATTCTTGTTTATGTTAACCAACAAATACTACACAGCAACTGTTATAACTGCAGAGACGCTAAATTATATTCTCTTTGATTTGTTTTCATTGAACAATCTTTATTTCTTGTGTATGTCTTATGTTCAGGTAGTCCTCAACTTACAATAGTTCATTTAGTGGCTGTTCGAGGTTACAAAAAAGTGACTTATGACCATTTTTTACCCTTATGACCATTGCAGAATCCCCATGGTCACATGATTGAAACTCAGCTGCTTGGCAAGTGACTCATATTTATGATGGTTGCAGTGTCATGTGATCAGTGTCATGTGATGGTTGCAGGGTCATATGATCATCTTTTGCAACCTTCTGACAAGCAAAGTCAATGGGGAAGCCAGATTCACTTAACAATCCTGTTTCTAACTGCAGTGATTCCCCTTAACAACTGTGGCAAGACAGGTCATAAAATGGGGCAAAATTCACATAACAAATGTCTTGCTTAGCGACAGAAATCTTGGGCTCAGTTGTGGTTGTGGTTGTAAACTGAGGATTAAATATCTGTATTTATAATATTACCACATAATATTTGACACTAGAGCTGTGTATGCTTAAAAAAAACACGCTTTGGGAAAAGTGTTTTGGACTGTTCTACTATTTATTAAAATAACCCCTGAGAGGGAAGATGAAACTTCTTTGTGGGAAAAAAAAAAATCCTAAAGAGGGACCGCTTTAAGATTCATATTAACATTAATGAGTCAGCTCCATAAAGCAGTCACAGCACTTTTTTCTCAGGTCCAAATTATGTATTTGGAATTATTTTTTGAAGCATAAAGAGATTCACCTGAGATGATCAGTGAAGAATGTGCTGGGGTAAAAGACAAACAGATTTGAATGTGTAAGTGTGCATAAAGCGGTTTTATCCACAAGACTCACAACTGTCAGTCCTGAAAAATCTGCCGGATAACACGTACCCAAGTTTTTAGTCCCTGTATCTGAATTTAGATGATACGAATTCAGTAGCAAGTCAAACATTTCCCTCAAATTCAATTTCCACAAAAGTGCCACCTACCTTCCAGCTTAAACATAAAACTAATTAACATGTTTTTTTATTCATACCCTTATCTCCCAAATAATTCTGCTTGAGTGAATACTGTTCACAATAGGAATAATAAAATTTCAAGAAGCAAAAACTTACAGTGATATATCATGGGTTGTATGAAATACATAAGTTTTTTTTTCCTGATTTACTATGATGACAAATATCATCAAAACTCTAAACCCAGCGTGTACCTCTTCTACAATCCCTCCCTTTCAGATGTAATGCTTTCTTTCTTCTTCTTCTGACTTTGATGACAGTTGATTTTGGAAGTGTGCTTCTTTCATCATGGGCTATTACTTCCCCCTGGAATGGGTGGGAGCATAAATGTCTCTGTACAATGCTGGCTGGTTGTTGACAAAGATCTCCCAGAAATCCTTTGAAATCGGTTCCTTCTCTGGAAGTAGTTGCGGCTGCTGTGAAAAGAACGCTGCCTATTCCTCAAATATTCTTTGTAGTTCTTGGTCAGCAAGGTGTAGAGGAAAGGGTTGATGCAACTGTTGCTGTAGGTCAGGCAGGTGGTCAGGTAGTTGACGTTCCTAGTGGCTTTAGGAGACATGGGAAGAGGCTCGTAGTACTGGAAGAGCAGTTGCCAGATCCAGAACGGCAAGAAGCAGGCCCAGAAGACCAGGACAATAGTGAAGATTAAGTAGAGGACTTTTTGATTGGGCAGCCGCTTGGTCTCTTTCAAGGAAGTGGTCTGGGACACCCAGTAGGTTCTTGCTAGTCTAACGTAGAGATACCCAATGATGACACCAGGGCCAACAATGCTGGTGCAGAAGAGAATGGTGATGTAGATCTTGTAAGACAACTTGCTCCAGGTGGGGAGGCAAATATTCTTTTCCCCATGCACCAGCTGGATCATAATCAGCATTGGCAGGGTGAGAAGCAGAGATGCCACCCAGATAATGAGGGCAATTGCTTTCCGATAACTCTTGGATCTCTTCACAGTGTCCAAAGGCTTCAGCACTGCAAAGTATCTCTCTGTGCTCATCACCATCAAGGTGAAAATGCTAGCGTGCATGGTGAGGAAATCCAAGCTGAAAAGGATCCGGCAACCTGTATCTCCAAAGTACCATTCCTGAATGAAATAAGTCCCCACAATGAAAGGGATAGTGAGAAGGTAGAGCAGGTCTGCTAGGGCCAAGTTGATGATGTAGATGTACATGGAGGCAGAAGACCTCATGTAGTGGCACATCACAACCAAGGTGTAGACATTGCCTGTCACTCCAATTATGCACATAAGAGACAGGATGGTCCCAATGGTGCAGGTGGCTATGATATCCTCCAAAGAGCTGGCAGAGAAGGCCTCACCCCATGTGTTGTTGGAAGAAATATTAGGGTTGCTTCTGAGCGGGCTGCCAGTTTCTGTGTCTGTGGCCACTCTAATGGTGGAGGAGATAGTGCCATCCATTCTCGTAAAGGTTCTATCTTTACATGCCTTGAGCAATCAGCAGCAGGCAATATTTGATTCTTTGAAGAGAAGAGGGAACGGAAGGAAATACTGCTGAGCTGAGATTAATTTCTGTTGAAATGTCAGAAACATCTGTGATCTTCAACCTTGTATTTATTCTAGAGAAAGGGCAGAAAAAACACTGTAAGGCAGAATAATATAATGCTGTAGCTTTTTTGTTTCTTAGGCTTTCTTTATTTCCCAGGCTTATTAGTAGTTGACAGGTTTTTGGGGGGAAGGAGATGGGATGTTTGGCTGCTTCAACATTTGTTTCTTTTCAATTTATTGTTAGTCCATCTCTGGCCCACCGGCTATCTGTAATAGGAAAAAAGGACAGTTTGCTGTGCATTTGGCCAGGAGAACCACTGTTCTACATCTATGTAACTGGAATGAACAAGTCTAATAATTATAGCCACCATTATATTTTAGTAAAAGAAACCTAAATGGCCTTTTATAAACATTAACTCAGTTCATTAGTGAATTACCTGAGAATACAGTTTCTTTGTGGGTAAGCATATATTCTAGTTTATTCTAGTTTTCCCTGGTCTCATTTTTGGCATGACACTGCTAGAATTAACCATATCATTTGAATCTGACCACACACCTTCCTCCTGCTTTGTTTTGCTTTCTCTTTTGTATCTCACCAGGATTTTGTCTTTATCTTCAAAATCTCCTATGCCCTTATTCTTACCTTCTTATCTCTTAAAAAGGTAAAGGTTCCCCTCGCACATATGTGCTAGTCATTCCCGACTCTAGGGGGCAGTACTCATCTCCGTTTCAAAGCCGAAGAGCTAGCACTGTCTGAAGACATCTCCATGGTCATGTGGCCGGCATGACTTAATGCCAAAGGCGCACGGAACGCTGCTACCTTCCCACCAAAGGTGGTCCCTATTTTTCTACTTGCATTTTTTACATGCTTTCAAACTGCTAGGTTGGCAGAAGCTGGGACAAGTATTGGGAGCTCACCCTTACGCAGTACTAGGGATTTGAACCACTGACCTGCCAACCTTTCGATCGACAAGCTCAGCATCTTAGCCACTGAGCTACCACGTACTCTTACCTTCTTACCTCTTACATTCCTTTCAACGTTTCCTGGTCCTTCCTGTGGCTCCTCACTCTTTCCTTTACTGCTTGATAAATGGATAGGAGGTCAACTCTCCTTCAGGATTCCGCAACGTGACCACTCCTTTTATTTCCTTTTAAGCCCTTTTTCAAAACCCACCTTTTCAGGGAACTTTTAAAATAGTTCTGTATTCTAGTATGCAGCTCTATCAAGATATATACAATAGAAAGATTTTTCCTCTGCTTATCCATTCCTCAGTTTCTCTCTTCCCTCCATTTCCTTAGATCTATTTTAGAGTGTAAGCTCCTTGGGCAGCCAGGCTTATCATATCTCTTCCTTATAAAATGCTATGTACATTGACAGCACATTATAAATATCAGTAGTTCATAATACCTGCATGGTATAAAATATGGCATGTCTGGGGCAACCTATTGTTATTTTTAAAGCAATTCAAAATCATAGTAACTGTTTAAAATCCATATTGCGCTCAGCACTACTAAAGTAGTAAGGGGGAACAATTAAAGTTTGCTCTCTATCAGCCCTTAGAAATTACCTTCCACAAATCTGTTTGGCCTTTAAAACCTACTGACCTAGAGGCTATCAGCAAATTTTATGACAGTAAATTCCATACAATTACGATAATCCGCCTGGAGTTCATTTGAATAATTTGTTACCTTGAGACCTGAAAGCTTCAGCTCCATGAAATTGATTGGCTGTTAATCTCTCTCAGCCTAGTTTACCTCACAGCATTCATTTATTTGCTGTATGGCTTCCATGCAAATTTGCAAGGACTTGAATGAATGCCCAATAAAATCCAGCTTGCAAATGCTGAGTTATAGGAACACACACAAGCACACACACACACACACCGGGGGGTGGGGGAGGAAGGTATTCTTAATCAGACAACTGAGTGATATAAATAAATAAATAAATAAATAAATAAATAAATAAATAAATAAATAAATAAATGGTGATGGTGATGTGGGTAATACTGTAAGATCTACTCCTAAAGCAATATTAATTTCAGAGGAGAGGTTTATGGAGGAAATAATTAATGCCTTTTTGAGGCCCAACAATTCTCACCCTGCCAGTACGTTCTGCTCTATTTGCTTTTCAAACAACAGCAGCAATCACATCTTCACCCTCCTGTATGTTCAATGTATTTAAGTTTCTGACTCTTTTGACCTCAAGCTCCTGTTAAGTATTATAGCAGTAGTTTTCTGCCAAAAGGTTTCTACGTCTACTGTATCACTTTGGTCGGTTTGGAAAAAGATTAAAAAGACTCAAGCGACAATTCCCCTTCCCCCCCTCCAAAAGAGCAGAGCAACTCGCTGTGCAGAACTGATTTTACAACTGAATCAGTTTGTCAAATCAAATTTTCAGCATGCCCGGGGAGGTCTAGAGAAACACCTCAGCAGACACTGGATATAGCTGAGCTTTACATTTTGCATTAATCCAAGCACATCACACATTTTTCAAGCTACTTAGACAGAAATTTATCTTTCATCTCAGTCAGTCAGTCAGTCAGTCAGGTAAACCATCCACATTTCAAGGGGTTACCCAAAATAAGGGGGGAAAACAGCAAACAAAGTAAACATATAAAATCTAGATTCAAACCTGACTTCAGTGAAATCCAGTTGATGAGGTTTCTTCTTGGGCAATAAAATAAAATTAAGGGTGGGGAAAAAACCCCCCCAGCAGACTTGGCCAAAATGTGACTAAAGGGTCTTTGCAGACAAAAAGAAGCAGCCTGGAACCCAAAAGCTTAAGGCATTTGGAATGGGTGTGCAGAAAAGAGATGGGGAGAGCCAAGTATGTTTGAAATCTGTGCCCTCCCAATCTCCACATTCACTCGTGCTTGCTATTTATGCTGCTCGATGACGCTCAGCATTGTGGAACTGCCTTTGCACAGCACTAGGTAGGGTTACTTTGAAGAGAAGCAACATTTCAAAAATCGGAGGCAGCCCTCTGCTGCTGAGTCCTTGCTGGACCAAGAGAGGGCGAGTCACAGAAATGATCTGGGCTGTTTTCCTCCTCTCGAAAAGAAGCTGGGGAGCCATACTCCGGCTCCTTTCCCTAAATGGTGCCTGGGGATCTCTATTCACAGCAGACCCTTTGGGAACAAAAACAGTGTCAGCAAAACCTTTTTTTTTTCCTGGAAGGGGGAGAGTTATTTACCAACAAAGGTTTTTGTAGTGAATTTAAATCTTCAAAACAGCTGAGTTTTGTATGGATCAGAAGACTTACGGTGTAGTCTTATGGACAGTATAAAGGAGCTATCATTTTGGTGATGAGAAACAGTTCTCTGTGAAAAATAGTTCTCTGGCTTGTTCTGATCCCTTTGTACTCTTTCTTTTTTTAAAAAAAAAAACTTATGACAGTTTTCTTTTGGGGAGAGGGAGAGAAAGAGGGAAAAAGAGAAAAAGGGAAAGGGAAAAAGCAATTCTTTGTTTCTGACCAACCCCCCACCCCACCTCTTTTAGATAGGGACCCAACCACATTCTCTTCCTTCCCCTCTTGTGTAGTGTACTCATTGTGGGCAGCATGATGGTTTGGTGACTCCAGTAAATAGAGAGAAGAGAAAAGAATCAGCTTTCTTGGTGGTCTATTCATGTTGGAACCTCGGCTTTTTCTCTTCTGAGAGTCTTTGGTCAGAGACACTCTTATTCCCTGAAAAAATGGTGAAAGTGTCATGGTTTTGATGATCCTAGCAAACATTTCATGTAGCATGACATCCTTGGTGTGAATTACTCACCCCTTGGTAGAGGCAAATTTGCAGGCTTCTAACATGACCCGGGAATCAAGCTTCCTTCACAGTGTCCAAAATTCTGCAGTTCAGAATGCAGTGATATGATCCAGACAAACAAGCTACTTAGAGTCTGCTCTTCTGAATATGATTGGGGGCTTTTCCACACTATTGCCTTAAACTGCTTCACTCTCAAGCGTAGAGTATACTGGTTGGAACCTAAGCCAGTTTAAGATACTATCTTCTGCCTTTCATTTCTTCTTCTGATTTGGCCATGCTGATCTCCTGATCTTCTATCCAGATGGTATTTACTATGGTTCCTGTCTGGAGGATTCCTTTGCTTCTCTAGCTCCCTCATCCACGCCAGGTAATCTGGCTTCAATTTTCTTTTTTCTTTTCCATGAACAACTCTTTGAGATCATGTGGTTTCTATGGACAGATTTGTATGACCCTTCCCCATTGTCTCCTGCCTGCTGTATTTAACACTTTTCCCTATGGTGCACTTACTGATGGATGGGTAAACGTAACAACATAGCCCCCTTCATTTCCAATGAAATGGGCTTTCTGTGACATGGGCTGAAAGGTGAAATGTACTGATTGATTTGTATTTTGACAGAATTACAGAATTGGAAAGGCTTTGGGAGTCTTCTAGTCTAACCCCCTGCTCTAGCAGGAGACCCTATATGCCATTTCAGATAAATGGCTATCCAATCTCTTCTTAAGCACCTCCAGTGGTGGAGCACCCATAATTTCTGGAGGCAAGCCATTCTACTGATTCACTGGAATGGTTAATTCTAACCATCAGGAAATTTCTCCTTAGTTCTACATTAGTTCTCTCCTTGATTAGTTTCCATCCTGGGCTTCTTGTCCTGCCTTTGAAGAATTGGTTGACCCCCTCTTCTTTGTAGCATCCCCTCAAATGTTGGAAGACTGCCATCATGTCACCCCCTGGTCCTTCTTTAAATAGTTCAGTTCTTGGCAGAACTCTGGTCTACTTCACCTGATTAAAAGAAGAGAAAGAGTGGCTGGTGTGGTGCCCACCTTGTATAGTTCCTCAATGAAAATGATTTAAAAAACAAAACAGCGGTAGAAGGCAGTAGCCAACATTCCTGCCACACTGTACGGTATCCAATTTGCCTACATGAAACGGATCACAGCAGGACACCTGCCGTGTGTGCTGCCAGAAGTCCAAAAAAACACTGCTTTTGACACGTAGCAGAAAAAGATGGTCAGAGGTTGCCTTCCCAGTGGGTGGAGGGCCGGTAGAGAACACAATGTGCATTCCTGCCATCAAGAAAAGGTCTGTGGCCCGTACTCCCACCAGGACAACTTCATTGTGCAGATCAACCTTGTGATTGGCAGCTTCTGTCCAGAGATCACAGCTCCATCTCTTTTGCAAAATGTGCCAAATGTGGCTGCTTTGGGACAGCTAAACTCATACCGAGGGAGAATATTTTCTAATACTGTTACTGGGGCTTAGAGTTTAGGTCCTAGAATAGGGACCTTAAATGGTTTAGTCTTTCTTCTGTTGATTGTATGGCTGTGCAAAAGGAAAATCAGGAACTAAAACTTTAGAGGAAGTACCTTAATGTAAATAAATCAGTCATTTGTTGATGTGCTTGTTGTGGTGAGGGAAGATACTTTTTAAAAATCGTATATCTGAAAAAAGGAGAAGCAATAACAAAACGAGTCAAAACTGTGGAGCAATGCTTTTAATGCGAATGAATAAATCATTATTTCTTTTTCTTCTATTTGTTGCAAATTTATTGGCATTTTCATTCTGGTTGTGTTTGTTTTTCCTTTACAGATGGGGAAGGAAAGAAGGCCAAGAATTAAGAAAGCAGAAGACTTGTTTATTTTTGAAAAACAAATCAAGTTGGAGAGTTTTTGAAGGAGCAGAGAATGCAAATTATATTTGTTTTGGGGTTTTTGGGTGTGTGTCTGTGTGAGTGAAGGTAAAACAAGTAATGACACAAGGAATTAAAGGCAGCATTATAATGGAAATAAATTGACTGTATCATAGCCTTTGGGCTGAAAAAAATTCAGATGTTGAAAGATGGTAGAAAGGAGATACTGAAAACTCCAACCCCTTGCTGACCTCTAGATATCCTCTGGAGTTTTCATCTGAGATCTCTTAGCTCTAAATGTTATATTTTGTTATCAAGATGTGAGAATAGTTTTAATGAATTTTAATTTGAAATTTAATATATTGACGTGTGGAATTTACCGCTGGAATGTAGGGAGAGGCAGGGGTTCACTGCAGTTGCCAGATGCTTTAGATAGCTTTCAACAATCTGTTGTTTGATTGGGGGGAATAAAATACCCTCTGTGTGAGGAGACAAATTGAATCAAGCCTTGTACAAAAGAAAAGCCACTACAGGTAGTCCCCATTTTATGGCCACAGTTGAGCCCAAAATTTCTGTTGCTAAGTGAGACTGTTGTTAAGTGAATTTTGCCCCATTTTGCAACCTTTCTTGCCAGAGTTGTTAAGTGAATCACTGCAGTTGTTAGGTTAGCAACATGATTGGTATGTAAATCTAGCTCCCCTGTTGACTTTGCTTGTCAGAAGGTCTCAAAAGGTGATCACATGGACCCCGGGACACTGCAATGGTCATAAATATGAACCAGTTGCCAAGCATCTGAATTTTGATCATGTAACCTTGAAGATGCTACAATCAGGGGTGGGATTCTGCCAGTTCGGACCGGTTCGGGATAATAACCAGTAGCTCCGATGATCAGCTGAGAGCGAATCAGTTCGCTCCGACCATCAGCTAGGCCCGCCCACCTGCCCCTGTGCTATGCCTACCTTTATTTCTTTCGTTTGAAGCCCAGATGATTGGCGCAGTAGTACGGATTGCCACGCCTGAGCTATTTTATTCACTGGAGCTGCAGTAGAAGGTGCTGTTTTCAAATGTACTGCGCGTGGGTGGATCGCCCATTTGGCGTGCGTGCGAAGTGAACCAGTTGTTACACCGGTTGAATCTCACCGCTGGCTACAATGGTCATAAGTGTGAGAAATGGTCATAAGTTACTTTTTTCAGTGATGCAACTTCAGACAGTCACTAAATGAACTGTCATAAATTGAAGTATGTAGTTTTGCAGAATATTTTTATAATGTTCTGATTTTGGCATGTAAGCATCAAACGCAATGCAAGAGGCCTCTCCTAATTTACAAAGCCTTAGCAAGTGGCTGTAGTATCTGGCTGACTTTGAGATTAGAAGCTATGTAGGGTGAGGCCCAGCTAGGATTTTGATGGGAGCCCTTCTATCTACTTTGGCAATTTGGCCAGAAAAAGTGCTTTGACATATTAATGAAATACCCTGGGGTTGAATTCAGCTTAAATAATTTCACTTTACTAATGCTGTCTAAAGTTTTTTTGGTTTGCCTTATGTTCCAGAGACCTGGATTTTCTTGTCCCATCTATTGAGCAACAGGCCCTAATACTGAATGTTACTTCTAAAGTGAAATACATAGTCTGCCTATTGATAAAGCGTTTTATAGCAAACCTGCTCTGCAGGTCCCAGAGATTCCTGGTCCCACTTATAGAAAATATACTTTTATTTACAGCCACTATAGACATCCACCTCCTAGACCCCTCCACTTCTCTCCCACTGTGCTCTACTACAGCCTTTTGAATTTCTAGGATAATAGCAATTGAGTAGCTCAATGGGGAATGGATGGTCTTGACTCTTGGCAGGCAGGGGGTCATGGCTTGGCAAGGGAGAAAATGTTTTCATTTCACATTGAATCCACTCTCTTCGGAGCAAATGATGATTTGTCGATGTGAGACAATTTGGCTCATTGAATTCTATTTTTATACATCATTTCTGTAAGGGTTTAATCCAAAAGAGGAAAATCGATGTGCTAAAAGCCACTGGGCGGTTTAACAAATGCAGAACATGCTTTTTAGTATGGTTTTCCAAATATATTTTGTAGTGGGTCTCTCTACACATGAGGCAACTGTATTGGATTCTTTTATTTTTTCTTTCCTGGCATCTTCTTCCAATTTCCTCATTCCGGAACCTTTTTTTTTTCCTTTTTTACCTCAGGATTCCTAGTACCCCTACTGCTCCCCAGAAACCCAGCATCAAAGGAAGTCGCTAAGATGAAGAAATGTCAGGTGGGAAGGAGAGACAACAGTCCCACAACTGAGATGTTATTTTGTTGAAAGAGATCTGCCACTGAAAAATCCCTTTGTTTAGGATGTATCTTATCCTATA